AAAATATGTACGTTGGATGTTGAATAAATCTTGATCTGACCGTGAAAAAAAACCCAATGAAACCAATTACTCTGCGTGTATACTTTACTTTGTGGGGTCGAGCTACCGGATGATAGTGTCGTTATTCTTATACAACGAAGTTGCTAAAAAAGAGGAAATGCTGTTTACCACAAAACCATTGTTTTATATCATAGTATGCATTTAAGGTTCTAGAATTTCGCTAATAGCTGCGGTAATTGGACCAATAAATCAATGACATAAATTATGTACATTAACCTTCCATATTTGCTTAAGTCGCAAGATGTCGCTTTTGATTGGTGAATAAATCACTGTGACGCACGTAAATATTCACTTGAAATGAGAAATTACCGCCCAACAAAACGGACCATTAGATTCCCAGTGCTGTATTACTCTTTTGTTCTTGTGGTCAACTTGTTTTCTTTGCTTGAATCGCGTAAAAGACCAAGGAAAATACAATGAAATCGGCAATCGCCGAGCCGCGCCGATCTGCCGCCGCCATCTTGGATTTTTTTGGAAAGCTGCAATTTGGCCCAAACCGCTAGAGGGGGCGAATTAAAATGTTTAATATATTCGGTCTGAAGTTTTAGTAGCTCTAGCAGTAGAGGAGAAGTTTGATAATGCATAGAACGGATAAAATAGAATAAAATTAAATGAAATAAAATAAAACAGAATAAAAAATAAAATGAAAATAAATAAAAATAAATAAAAATAAAAAAATAAAATAAAATGAAAATTATTGTAGTGGTTACATATACTTAACGTTATATTGTATTTAGCAATGATCATTTAGCAAAAAAAATTCGGTACTGAAACTCCGGTATTCAGAATCAGGTACAGGTACAGGTCCGGACCTGGACCTGATCATCTGGACCTGGAAGAGCCGAACAGGTACCCACCCCTATTGCTAGTGGTGTAATATGGCTGTAATGTCGACACTGTTTGTTGAGTACTAGTACAGTATATTTATATTCCTAATCAAAAGTAACAGTGAAAGATTTGCCCATACATTGGTATTGAAATAAAGAGCACATTTTAGTACCGTTCACCTGTCAATTTGGTCATTTTCCGGGGGGTACGTTTATTCCGGAGGGTATGTATATTAGACTTTGAAGATTTGTCCGGGGGGTATGTTTATTCCGGGGGGTATGTTTATTAGGGACATGAGAGTAGTATGAAGATTTATAAAGATTTATGTTATAAAGATTTGGTAATAACTGCTGCAATTGCACCAATAAACCAAGTTTAAAAAATTACGTTTTAATATTACCTTGAGACATCTGAATAAGTCAAGACGAAGGTTATGGAAGTGCACTATATTCCTCGGTCGCAAGATGTCGCTTTTGATTAGTGGCCTGAATGGAATTTCCCATATCGAAGATCCCGGATGTAACGCATGAGGCTGCTTAGGTATTTACTTAGCAAAAATAGCAAAATATCAGGAATTATAAGGGTATTAGGCATAGAGCCATAGGATAAAAATGGAGCTAAAGATACTACGGGCAAGGGCAATCAATTACATTGTGTTTTATTCGTGCTGTTGAACAGATTTAAACAGAGTTACGTTATCGCCCCCCCCCGTGAAAAATTTTATGAAATTCGTACAACCTAACAATATGTTAGTGCATTAAGCTTGATAACGTTTGACAGCCCTGTTATTGTAGCCACTCCATTTTGTGTTGTCTCATGAAGTTATACCAAAATAAAACATTTCACTTTTGACACATGCATCTTTGCTCTTTATTCATCAGTATTGTCCAGACATTACAATTTCAATGAAACATACAGATGAAACATAGTTCCTCTGTAATATACAACATGACACTACTGATTCCAAAAAATGTCTTCCCCATACATAGAGCTGTGTAACCTACTCTAACAGAGAAATTAGCTCCACATACATATCCTAAACTCTTTCCTGTCTCTCAAATCTTCAATCACAAATGAAAATCTGTATCTCTACCTAAACATTTTCCCTCCCAACATCTGCTTCGAGATTAATATTTTTCACTAATTCCATTGAAGCAAATGATAATGGAAGCCAACTTATTACCCTGTTTGGTGTTACAGGTATGAACATACTAGGTAATACATTCTTTCCTCTCTAGCAGTTACACAAATCTATGTGGACATCCTCCAAGAACACAAAACTACATGGCCAGCGGCCGAGATAAACTTTTTTCAAAAGTCTTGTTTCTCTCTAGATATTGAAGATGCATGTGCGGGTACTAAAGATTGCAAGACCATAATGCAGCACTTCATTCTAAAGTTGCAAGAGGGCGCACCTACCTACACATTCCACCGAAGGGGTCGACCTTCACTTCACTGAGCATGGCGCCTGCACCTTTCCAGAATTGTGCCGTTTCTCGCTGATATGTACGATGAATATGTAGTGATTTCTGCGATGCCCATGATCAGTTGGAGATGAATAGGACGACAATGTGTTTTTGTTTGTATCAGCATGGAAAATTATTGAAAGTAGTTAAAGTAAATTCACTTTTAACTACTTTCAATCATTTTCCATGCTGATAGTGATACAAACAGTATAGTAGTTATAACGTTTGTATTTTACAATGTATGTATGTAAGAGGACTCCAGGAAGAGTAGTGGTGTATCGTCACTAATTAGAGGTTCCTTGAATAAACAAACAAACAAACAAGAAGTTTCCGACGTAGTCACAGAAGTTGAAAACATTTCCATGGTTAACAACTTGAAAGGGGACGACAGGAAAACAACATTGCAGAATAAATCAGTTTTGCTTATCCTTCCAAATGTGCCTTTATTTCTATAGAATTGTGAATGTAGGATAGAGGCTATGGTCTGTAAAGATGTGGTGGAAGTTGAGGGGATTCCACGACATTTTTTTTATTCCAAAGTTTCATGACTAGGCATGATGACGGCACATTCAAGTTGTATCAACTTATTTTACGCCGCCACCAACGCAGAGTACAGGACAATCATCGTGACTCATTTACACCTGAGCGAAGTGAGGAAAGTCCTGCAAAGTGCCTTTCCCAAGGGCACAAGATCGGTGGCATGTCAGGATTCGAACCCTCAGGACTCGGGACCTCTTGGTTCCGAGTCGAGCACTCTGCCATTACGCCCCACAACCCCACAAACACGGCATTATATAGAACATTGGGCATAAAACAAGACGCTTGAACTCAAGTGACTCTTCCCTCTAGATTGTCAACAACCACCGTGCAACAACCTTACCATGCGCATGCGTACGAACCAACGGTATCGTTCATGTCAACGATCGTAATTAGCCTCTCTTTCTCTCTCTCTTAATTCTCAGTGCAAGTCTGTGTGAGGAAATGTAGCGCTCCATTCGTGTCCTTAGCTTTCAACCATACAGATTACAGTTTTTTTTAGAGTTTTCACGGCACTGGGGAGAACACCTTCATACGTGGACTTTCATATATCTGCCTAAACGGACCCAAGAGGTAGGTACAGTTTGCTGTAAGTACGATGAAGTTCGGAATGGGGAGTGACATTCTTGTGCAGACTACTAGTAGGCAACTGTTGCTCTGGAAAATCTAAACTGAGCCGAGATTTAATTAAAAAAACACCAGGCGTATACCAGAAGTAAACCAGAGTTCCATTATTGCTATCTCAATGTTCCTCAGTAGTAGCTGGTATCATCTATTCCTTACCAAGATGAGGTAAAAATTAAATGTGTTTATTTCAAATGTCGTATGCATTATGCAATATATATATAAATCTATTAGATTGGTGGTTTAACGACACAGGTGTTCAATAATTGTCTAATCCAGGCAAGAAAAGTCAACATTACACACAAAAGAAGTGTTCACTTCAAGTTTGCAACATGCACCAAGGTAGCATACATACACGAAAACTGTAACGGTAATAGTATATATGTTAAGCACATGGAATTTCCTGCTGTTATATTAGTATGTAAAAGACTACTAGTATGATATTTGTTTATATCATAGCTAGACTACTAAGAGTATCCCTCAACTGCAAGTTGTTGTTATGATCAAACTTGTGGACTTTGGCTCTTCAGCTAGGAAGCCAAAAGGGCAATAAACAATCATTAACGACTTAATCAATGGCGTAGGCCTAGGAAAAACGTAAATATTTTCGTAAACGTACGGTCTAACCTAACGTAACTTGATGGTACGTTAACTGTGTCTGTACAGGTAGACAGTACATGTTCAGATACTGTCCGAAAGTATGTTAACTAATGATTAAGGAGAACGGGCCTAGCCCCTGTCACACTTAACCACATATGGCCTCCCGAATACATTCGAACGTGACACAGGTTAAAATAGTTATCGTAAAAAAAATATCATATAGCCAGAAGGCGTCGACCAATCAGAAGGCTCCTTTTGCCATCGGTTATCAGGCCGTAACCTCAAAAGTGGTCGTACCATTATACAGGGGACAGTGAAGAAATGGAGGAATTTCATTAAGGAATTTTGTCAAATAATTGTGTCAGTTAGATAGGCTATATGATGATAACTTTAATGTCCCGCCTTATCCTCGGCGTATATGGTGATATAATCCCTAATCAGGTGTGATAACCACCTCATAAATTACCTCGTTCGCTCTGCTCACTTGGAGAAATCACTTCATGATTCATGGTTATCGCACCTGGCCACAGTGATTATCTCACCATATACACCTCTACCTGGTCTGGCTAGGGTTGGCTGGCGGTTGGCGGGTGATCAGGAGTAGGTCGGGGCGTTATTATCTTTCACATTTCACTCAAATTTGATTCGATTCGTATGGAAAACTAGGCGTGGCGTAGACTGTTCCCTAACTTCAGCAAACCTTAGTTGGCTCGTGTTCGGGGGAAGGTTCTGAATGTCCCGGTGGCTTTACTTATTAGTCAATACGAACCAAAAATCTCTCCTAAGAAGAAGAGACACAGGATGTGTCATGAGACCGCCCCTTGATATTTTTCTTGGTATCCTTTTCTAGTAAGACGAGTAGGAATGGATGAAAACAGGGACGGTAAGGAAGATGCTCCGATGATGTCAGACGGTCGCCGCCACGTCAACGGCAACTCCAGGTCTGACAAAAAATCTGCAGACGACCAGCCACGATGTAGGATCAGCATCCGGGACCTGCGCTGGTTCATGACCTTTCTCTGTCTGATCAACTTTGCAGAGGTGAGTGACTTTGGAAGATGAACCTTGAACTTGATTTCTTTACTATGTGGCCACACTGGATGATAGCAACATAGAAAACACAGTTTAAAATTTCAATTACTTTACACAAGCAAGAGACATCAACATTACACGATATACAATAGAACAATACATTTGATAAAATATCTGTACATACAAATACAAAAAATTAAGCATGTTATAACCAGAAGATTATTTTAAAGACTTATCTCTCATCACAAACGCTGTGTGCACGTACTTCCCCAACTGTCTTGTAAGGGAAACAGTTGGACCGGCTAACAATACTTTGGATTTGTGGGGATCAGGGCTCTTTGCGTAGAAATCGGGAAATGTCGCTTTCAAGTGAGTTGTAGAAGGGACATGCAGGTACAAAGTGGTATGTGATAGATGGCACATTTTTGAGCCTTTGTATCCGACGACCCCTCTGGAAGAAAGATTATGTAAATATTGAAATCAGAATGAAAAGAGATGGAACGTCCTTTTATACCGACTACCTCACTTGTCACTGCCAATCCACAGTGGATGACAAGAGCCACAGTGCGACAGTTGTACAAACTGCAGATTTTTTTCTCCATGCAACCAGACTGCCAGAGGACATAAAAATCCAATCATTTCTTTAATAGACCATGTTATGACCAAGCCACATTCCAAATATTATCCTATAATACATTTATAGCTTTCTGTGTTATCTGGTTCAAACCCAAGCTTCCCGTGTCACATTTCAGGGCATACACAACGGGATATTTGCCGGCTCGGTGACCAGCGTTCAGCGGCGCTTCCAGATGAGCAGCGCGACCATGGGCCAGATCCTCAGTATCGGGGAGATCGGGAGGATCACGTCACTTCTCCTCGTCACGTACTTAAAGCTTCGGTAGTCACGGCAACCGCCCGAGAATCATCGGCATTTCCGGCGTGGTTATGGCCGTTTCGACCTTCATGGCGGCCCTGCCACATTTTCTGATGGACCGTTACCGTTATGACGACAGCAGCAATGGCGGCAACTTTACCGACAGCGGCGTGTGCCACGCTGGGAACGAGAGTAGTGTGAGCATGCGCAGTGAGTCTGATTCCTGCGCTGATGACGAGGCTGCGACCATGAGCGGCATGACGTCATTGTTCCTGGTCTCCAGGTTTTTAATTTTTTTTTGTTTATTGAGTAACATAAAAACGTACATGCCACAGTGGTGGGCAACTCTTACAGGTTGCTCTTCTTAGCCCCACCACAGACAAAGAAAGGTATATACAATGGCAAATAATAATAACAAAACAACAGGTATCAAAACAGCAAGTAACAAATCAGCAAATGGGCAATGTAAACGATAACATGTAAAAAAAGGATCATAAATTTCGAAAAAGAATGGTTTTCCGCAGGCAGTTGAACACATTTTATCAAGTGTAAACCGTTTAGACTGAACAATGTAAGATTTAGTTAAGGTCATTATATGTCTATTGGTTCCCGGGCTTACGAGAGGTGAGCCCATAAAAAATAAATAAGTACAAGCCTGTTTAGACAGATCTTACATCTTGAGCAATAATATCCAGGGTGATGAGCAAGTTGGGGTCCAGCGCCACCTCCACGCTCGGCTACCCGTACTTAGACGACCACCTGCCTCCGGCAACCACAGGACTTTGGGTTGGTAAGAACAGCCATGTACTAAAAGCTACCGTGGCCGACAAGTACACACCTGCGTCGTCTGCTCAAGCACCTGCGTCGTCTGCTCAGAAAAAAACTGCGTCGTCTGCTCAAACGCCTGCATCGTCTGCTCAAACACCTTCGTCGTCTGCTCAAACACCTGCATCATCTGCTCAAACACCTACGTCATCTGCTCAAACACCTGCATCGTCTGCTCAAACACCTGCGTCGTCTGCTCAAACACCTGCGTCGTCTGCTCAAACACCTGCATCATCTGCTCAAACACCTGCGTCGTCTGCTTAAACACCTGCGTCTGCCCAGGGGAATATTCTGCACGAGCACCTGCGTCGTCTGCACAGAAAAAAAAGCTGCGTCGTCTGCTTAAACACCTGCGTCGTCTGCTTAAACACCTGCGTCTGCCCAGGGGAATATTCTGCGCAGACGACGCAGGTGTTTGCCCAGACGTCGCAGGTCTTCGCGCGGGCGACACAGATGTTTGAGCAGATGACGCAGGTCTTC